TTTTTCAGCACCGAATATTCCACAAGGCATGATCAGTTTTGGTAATTTCTGTCACGCAATTATATTATAAACGGCAATAATAGTTTAGTCTTTGTTTGAAAGACATAATATAACGTTAACATATAATCAAACTACAACAATAAAAAGTACTTTTAGATTATTCAACTACTACTTAATTACTTAAACAATAATCTCAAGACAAGGCTAAATTATGAACAAACGTGGATTGTGAAACAACACGGATCCGCTTGAACATAATTGTTTATTTTTGTCACTCCCAACATTCTGCTCTTGTCACTGAACACGCTTCTCGCCAAAACTTCTTCGCCCACTCGTGCAGTACGTGACTTGTAAACACATAAATTGTTTCAAGTAAAAACCTTGTAAATGTCAGACAGGCTTATTTATTGAGTGAGCAGGTGCAGATAGATTCAAATTGCCTACATGACGGAAAGCAAGCCGAGTATCTTTTGCTCTCATTATCACACAATTAAATGAATCCGAGTGTGAAAACGCCAACTCAGGAAGATCAGATCTCTGTCAGTGAAGCAGAAAATGTGTTAACCGTACACTACAACAGAACACAGCTGAGTGATGTTTACTAGCGACGCTCAATGCATGATAATATGACAATATGACAATGTAATGTTCTCTGTCTGCTTTGAGAAAGGTCGGAAAAGTGAGTGTGAAGGCGAATTCTCCTTCAGTATGGACTAGTACTACACTGGACTGGACTAATTCTGATTCACTTGGCAGAAAGGCAGATTTTGTCTTTTTTTTTGTAACCACTATTGAGTGAATAGTTAATTTGCCAAAAAGTGTCATTAGGAATATATTTGGTAAGGTTACGATTTGCTCTTTACCAAAACGTTTAATGAAAAGCCAGATCTATTTTAGTGTCATACTAATACAGTTTTCATTCCTTCCTGCCTGAGAAAATCCTTTAAAATGTACTGCTAAAAAACTTTTTTCTTTTTTTTTTACCCAGAGGAACACAACTTTTCAAAACGGAGATATCTGGTTCAGCAAATGACCTCTTTGAGTGCGCCGAGGGTTCAGATTTGTGATAAATAGAGCTGGTTATGTAGATTTTTACTCTGCTTAAGAGTTATTGTAGAGTGCAATATGGCTTCAAAAGATCTAAAAGAGAGGATTCACACAGTTCATAACACGAGCTCACATTTAACTCGCAAAATATTCTGTACGTTTTACAATTATTCATAAATGTATGTATTCAAATAGAAATGACGTGGAATAAGTATCTTCAAAATCCTATTTTTTGTAATTTCAATAAAACTAATATTTGTAACTTAACATTTTATGTATGAAAAGCAATCTATAAATGAAATGTGGTTGATTGATTGATATATACAATAATTAGGATATTTGCAACATCTGATAGAAACAGATGCTGTATGAGACATTTTCTTGTAAAAATGTGTAATAAATGAACTCATCTTTTCATGATTCAAATAAAACATCAAACATAAGAATTTGTGGTTATGTAATGTTTATTTATATAGCACATTTTACAGACCAAGGTCACCCAAAGCGCTTTACAATGTTCAGAGTTCTGTTCCAATCATTCCAGACACGGTGATGACAGAAGCGAGTCGCCGAACACACTGGACCATCAGCTCCAACCAACACTATCCATTCTCTCATTTACATTCAGACCTACTGTTTGTTCTGTGCTTGCATGTTTTTGTTCATCTAAAGAGACAATATCTGTCAAAGGACTGCGTGAGCTCGGTCATAAACAGTAAAGAAGGCGGAACACATATCACATGAAGTCTTAATCTTTTCAATATCTAAAGTAGATACAGTATGTCTTTGTTTGCTGTTGTCTATTTAATGTCCACTGAATATGAGACTGAGGCAGACGGGCTCACAGGGCCCTGCCAGCTGGTCAGGGTGATGGATTGTTGACCTTGTATATGTGCACATTTGTTAAATTAATAAAACCACACTTTGATTGCATCACAGATCTGGATTGATAAACTTAATTTTCCTGTGCATACTCTTACCGTTTTACAAAAATTACGCAACAATATTAAACAAACAACATGAATGAGCTCCAACTCTTATTTCTCTATACCCACGCGCAGGTTTGTCAGTGAAAACCTATACTTAGTAGAGTAGCCTCCAGTTATCTCCTATTCATTTCCCTTTGCACACCGCTCTATACAGTACGTCCCCTGCTCAAGTGTAGCCCTGAGCAGTCCGTACGTTTACACAACTACGCTATATAGATTTACATTGCAATGACTTGATTTCCACAATACACTGGAACTTTCAGTCTACTGTGGCGGCATCGAGCAAAAATGGTTCAAGTATTTTTTTTTCCAGCTTGTGGCGACTACTTTATTTGTACTTTTATTCAACCAGTGAAGTCCCATTGAGATTAAGAACCTCTTTTTCAAGGGAGTCCTGGACAAAAGTTACATGCAGTTACAATTATATACAATTACAGATTATAAAAACAGTCAGATACTGTATAATTTCATATAGTTACGGATTATTAAAAAAACAGTTACCGGTACATTTCAATGAGGATTTCTCAAGTGCTCTCAATCTGGATCTGAAAGCATTCAATGAAATAAGTTCAGATAATTTCCAGTCTTTTTGCAACACATCTTTGAAGCTCACATTGTGCAACTGATGTGCATTGAGCGTAAAAGCCAAAATCGTTTTATTAAATTACAGCTGAATGCAGACAAGGCACAAAAAACAAAAGCTAATGGAAGAATAATGTATCAGTAAAACACATCCTTGGATTAACACAAAGTTATGAATTGTATGATTAATTAGCTTCCAATTGTTCAGAAAGTGTGTTTTGTTGAATGCATTTTTGACCTGATTTTAAGACAAATATTAAAGATGTAATGGTTTTTTGGTAATTACAAGCTTTTACTTACTGTAAAAAGCACTGAAGCGTCTTGGCTGTTGCTGAAAAATGTGTTTAGGATCAGCGAAAGAAAGAGAAAGCTAAGAGATAAAGGAACTATCAGAGCTTTACTTTAAATATTCCATTAAAAGTTATCTGTATTGAGCAGGAAATCTCAACCTAGTTCAACGAAAGCTCATAAAATACCTTTCACGTTGCATAGAATCTGAGGCCCTCTTCGGCTCCAGGTCAAAAGAAATTAACATCAGATGGAGTACAATTCTAGCAACTGAAATATAAAGTTTGTAAGTTTGTGGTCCAAAGACTATCTGTGTCCAGTATCTTCAAATGGAATTGCTGTACTACAAAATAAAACATGTCTGTGAAGTTCATGTTTTAGGATTTTTGGAGCATGTTGAATTTATCCTGGCACTAACAAAGCATCTCCACCAAAGCCACAGACGCTGCTGTGACTCAAATGGATTAGTTACAGTGGGATCGATACAAAATGGGGATCAAGTTTAGTAGCCTCCTGTCTGCGGTTGGGGGCTCAGATACTGATCATTATGATATTTGAAGAAAAAAAACAAAAAACTGATTGCAGTGATAGTTTCTGGTTCTTTTCACAACACAATTTCCATCCAGCAAAATTAGAATAGGCAGAGAAAAGATTTTAAAATGTCATTGATGAAGATATTGTGCTAGATTTAATATAATATTGATCATTACCATAGACAGTGTGATCTTGACATGTTTTGGCGGTCATCTTGGATATTTTCACAGAGAACATTTTGCCATTCCAGTTCTGCAATCTGTGACTGGAGGTTCTAAGAATCTATACACCTCCATTTAATCCTCCATCTAAATGTAGAAAGGCCTGGCTGGACAGGCTTACAATATATATTAAGTCCCAATGTTTCTATTTTGATGACAAATTGCCCTATCCTAAATATACTGTATTAGGTATATATATAACATACTTATGATCTAACCTATGCCACCTCAGTGTTGTGTGCAGAGAAGAGTGAATTGTGACTCTTGGCTGTTTTTGTCGCATTCTGAAGTGACTCCTCACTGCTGATCCCTTTCCGCACACACACACAAACATGAAAATCAATCAATAAGTTATGGGGACAAACTATTGTCTATGCAACTATGGTCTAACAAACTATCATCCAGATCCCCAACTGGATGAATATCTTGGGAATGGTACTATACCTCAGATTAGGGTTTAGGGATCAGATTCAGATTTGTTTGCAGTAAAACCACATTACAATACATTTGCAAAAGTCTGCAGTGTGCACCGGACAAGAACATAAACAAGACAAGGTAAAAAGTACAGAATAAAAACAGCTTTAAAAAGTGCAGGAAACAATTGTCACTGTGAAATTCCATCCATCCATTTTCTACCCTTTAATCCATTTCTGGGTCAGGGGGGTGGCAATCAGAGATGCCACCCAAGTCTCATAGCACCAGCCCCTCACTGACCCTCTGCAGGTGGTGAGTCCACAGGAGGACGGCTGCTCTCTGAGTGTGAGCATAGCCTTGATCTTTCAGTGGGGGCTTTGGGCAAAGTGGGGTTAAGTGTCTTGCCCAAGGACACAACGACAGCAGTCATCAGAGGGAGTCGGTGGAGAAGGTGCAGAGGTGGGAATTGAACCCACGACCTTCTGGCCCTAAAGGCGAATGCTCTACCAACTGAGCTACTGTCGCCCCACTGTGAAATTGATCAACTAAAACAGTTTCAATGCAAGTGCAAGATCATCAAAGGGCTCTGTTTAAACTGATAGAAGAAGAAGCTGGAACATGGCTTTCCCAGAGTGGCCAGAAGAGTCAACAACAACATGGTCTTTACTGCAGCAGTTGTGTTAAAAACATGTTTAGGGTGTCTCTGGGTTGTCAGGAAACTTGAACTAGAATCATTCCTTAATTTCAGGGTGAGGTTATCATAAAAGATACTCCACAGTTTGCGATGGAAAGGGCACCTTGTCTTGTATGAGATGATAGAAAGATGACTTCATTAGACCGTGGAACCGTTTTGAACCTATGTTGTTTGTGAGGCTTTCTAATTATTTTGGCCACACTTCCGTACATTCCCACAGGCGCTGTCAGTTTACAAGCCCCTCCAAAACCATCTCCGCTCTTCCTCGTTAAAGCACCGTATGTTGAGGTAAGAAGCCCCCAACCATATCGACATTCTGCCTCGTATTTCCCCAGGACGCTCTGCAGCCAACCATCTGCCACTGGAATGGACAAGACACCACTCTTACTACAAACACACAACATTTAGAAGGATGCAATGGAGTGGATTGGGTTTCTTCTCTCAGTCTGATCCAACTTTTCTTATTTGGACAATTAAAAGAAGGTGGTGTTTAAACATGATATTGATCTATAACTCCATAACTCTAATTGGTGTTATTGTAATCATGGAGTGGCAGCAGTGAAGAAAACACTTGAGGAAGAGTTTGCTAGCGCAGAAACCCTGGTTAGGGATCACTATAAACAGTTCAAACTGGAACGTACACTTTTAGAGCGCACACCCTGCCTAACTTGGATCATCTCGACATTTAAGTATGGTCTCCGCCATCACACCCCATCTTCACACCCAATTTAAAGGAATAGTTCACCGTTTTTACATACTGACATATGTTCTTACCTTACCTTACCTTACCTCCGCCTACTAACTTCTCTCCGGAGACTTCTCTCTCGCTCACTTCCGTCAATAGAAGCAGCGTGACTTGTAGTACGGAGAGAAGTTAGTGCGCGGACGTAGCGCTCCTCAGATTACTACGCCTCACGATATAGTACCCGTTTTATCCGCTGAGAAAATCGCAGTTACATTTCTGTGTTACTATACTTTGCAGTGTAACATGTCACGTAACTATATACATTTAATAGGGAACACTTGGAAGAGTTTGGTAGCTTCTAGCGGGAGCTACCTTTTGGGTACTATACAGTATACAGAGGAGGCTGCGTTTGTGCTCCCGTTTTTGCTCCGTTTGCATGACAGAGCGCACGGACTAAGACCAGACAGGTACATATTAACTAGTCTAAGGTAAGGTAAGAACATATGTCAGTATGTAAAAACGGTGAACTATTCCTTTAACTTAGTCCGTCCGGTAGTTTTTGCACAGACCTGCCTACAGACAAACACACAGACGCAATACATGCTGGCAGGGTAAAAACACAGTTTAATTCTCAGTCCCTGTTGATGTCAGACAAAACCATATTGTGAAGCCATATAATGTCAAGTGGTAATGCCAACCCCCTCAGCTCCTGATTAGCTTTGAAACCGAAAATCTGAATTCCAGTCGACTGGTTGCAAATTAGCTGAGGAGCCTTCCCCAGCTTCTGTTTGAGGGCAATTCATCTGACTAATTTGACATGACACTGTTTGTATCAACTATTTACAACATGTGTGTATGTTTGTTTGTCTATTGCAGGACAATGATGAAACATGGTTGACAAGAAAATACATGTTTTTGAATGAGTCCCTGAAAAGTTGTACCTTAAAATAGCAAAAAAAATAATACATGTCACATTCGGCATACATAGAATCACTCGGGTTATGCGAAAAGACAGGAGGTGTGCAAACGTGTTAAAGGTTAGTGAATGATTTACACCCTTCACTAAGGTTTGAGTGTGTATCTCGCAGCAACACTGTCAATTGCATTTTCATCACATTGGACAAAAGGGTCTCTGCACAAAATCACTGACCAGCTCATGTACATTAACCTGGAAGCATGTTCAATGAAGAGACCCTTAGAGAACCAAACAACTTGCAGTGTCAGAGTATGAGGTCCACCCTTCCAATCCCCTTCTCTTTTTTACATCTGGTCCCATGCAGAGATTGAGGGAGGAAAACAACAAACTGTAATTACTCCTGTGTGTCTGTCTGGCCCTCCAGCGCATCCCAACAGAAGAACAAAACAAAACAGCTGCAGCATGAGGAGAGATTGGACATGAAAGGCGTCCCTGTGGCATCCCGGTGACTCCTCTTGTCTCCTCTCTGCTTGTTGATACAGAATGCCCCCCTCGCTTTCATCGTGCATCAGCCTTCAGAGATCTGCGGTGAATAATGATGTTTCCACGACTCGTGGAAAAGAATGAGTATAGAAGGATTCGCCTTGGGCCATGTGTTCTGATGGTCTAAGCATTCCTTTCACTACGTTTCACTCAAGCAAACTCAACAGTGCGTTTATTTGGGACTCGTTATGTGCAATATGCATCAGACCTAATGTGTCTGTGTATGCATGGCCAATGTCCACACAGGAGGAAATCATAAGATCTTAGAATGTAGAGAAAGTAACTCAACAACAAGACAAACTGTTTCATTTAGAAATGAGAAAACACTCTCTGCAAAGAAAATTGAGTCTCATTTATTTATATCAATGAAAAGCTTCTCAATGAGACGTCAGAAGAGAAATTCAGTCAATCAAAGTAAGATCTTTGAGGTTTTTTGTGTTAACCTTAAACTTGTAGACATTTCAATAATATCTTTTTTTTGGTTGAGGAATGTGTCTATCCTTGAGTTTCAGAATGATTAAAACTCTTGCTCTTTGATAAACTTGGATTATGATGGTATATAAACAGAAAGCTGACAGCTATAGATTGGTAAATATCCAATTGAAAAAAATGCCAAAAGGTAAAATATACATGAATCAGTTTCTTACTCTTTAGCCGATGCCGGGTTGTGGGGGCAGCAGTCTGAGCAGAGACGCCCAGACTTCCCTTTCCACAAACACATCCTCCAGCGGGCGATAGTCCTTGCAGGTTGGACAATTTCTGAATACCTCTCAAGGGAAGTGTCCTGGAGGCCTTTAAGACAGATGCCCAAACCACCTCAACCCCTCACCTGGAGAAGCAGCGGCTTTACTCTGAGCTACTCCTATGTACCTAAGTAACTTAACTTCTCACCCTCTATGGGCGCGCCTATAGTCACTCTACCGCTTATTTGGACCACTTGTACTGTAAATGTGATCTCATCCTTTCGGGCATACTTAAAGCAATTTTTCACTTAATGCAATCCACTTCAGCCTCTAGGCATTCATACATCCCAGACCCGTATTATTGTTTTTTACCCATGTTGAAATGTCCCGTCGACCTGGTATAGCAGAGAGAAAGCTCGGCAGAGTCGTTTTCACCCGTTTACCTACTGTATGTGCTCAGAGGAAAAAGGCAGCCCATGGTTTTGGGGCCAAAAAAACCTGTGTATTTGCTCATCGACCCTAATCTCATCCATATGATAGATTATTCATTCAACAAACAACTTTCAACCCTGATTGCTTCATCTGTTTGACAGCCACATCATAAGCAAAGTCACAGAATATAAGATGGACTAAAGACATATGGACATTGCTCTGGTGTCTTCCAAACACTGGGAGAACTACCCCCGCAGCTTGTCTGCTGCTCCGTGGGGACGTCAGCTGTGGAGCGCTCCTGCTATGTTGCCATCATTGTCACTGTCGCCAACACAAAAGCAACACAAGTGGGGCAGAAGCAGCCAACAAAACCGCCACTCTCTCCCCCAACACTTAAGATGAACAGACAGTTGGCCCCCACGGAACGACACTGATTTCCAAAGGATGTCCTATTTACAACTACAATTACAATGCCTTCACATTCTTAATATGTTTCCATTATCATTGATCATTTGTTTTTGAAGATACATGTGTCGTGCACTTGTCAGAATGTATGAAAAACACTTCTGACTCTATATGTACAAATAATGTCACTTCATATGCTATATATTTTTGTCTACATGCTGTGTTGTATTTGCCTGACAAACAGACTGTCTCTTCCTTTCAGATGTCAGGAAGTGGGCGTGGCTTGCCAAGCTATAGCATTGTGCTTGAAGAATAGTTGTTTTATCAAAGAATTAGCCATATTGCATTTAATATGTTGCACTAATATTTTTTCAACTGAATCTTTGAGTTTATTTTCTAATAAATGATATGTATTCATCTCGTTTTTGAGTGTTTTCTTTCTTCTGTTCTTAAACTTTGCCACAGTGAAACCTCCTCACAGTGGGCTCTCTTATTTTACAAGCTCTATTAATGAAAAATATTGTGACATACTTTGTTCATATAAGTTTATCTCCAGAGTTTAGGATGAGAAACAAGTGTCTTTCTCATTCTAAACTCTGACATGATATTTGATATGATGTTTCATGTATCTATTTGATTGAACCACATGAACGTAGGAGCCAAGTTTGTACTAGATTAATTTGACCAAAATTCTCATGATGGAATTATGATGGTGCATGTTTGCTTTTCTTCAGATGGATTGTCAAAATAGAAGCTCTCTCTAAACTAGTTGTAAAAATGTTATTTTTATGAGTTGCAGTATAGTTGTGCTGTGATAGAAGTCGTTATAGACACATTATCCGGATGAGTGTGCATCTGCTGCTGGTGCCGATGCATGGTGAAATGGCCCATTCTAATCCTCATTAACGTAGCTAATTTCACACGAGACAAAGTTGATAAGGGACGTCAAAAGCGGTCAAGGTTCAGCCATGCAAGTGCCGCCACTGCACACTGACATTTTACCACTAATGTGAGTGTTTGCGTCTTTAGTTACACTTTTCCATGGAGATGTTATTGTTTTGCCTCAGATGTTATTGTTTTGCAACACAGTTTGGCGTTAAATATTTCAATAGAGAAACAAGCAAAATACAATCACTACCACTGTGATAAAGTGTGGGTGAAGTAATAGCCCCTCTTTGTACTGTACGGCTGAAGTTTTTAATACAAATGACATCATCATTAAAGGGAAAATAATCTATTAAAACATTGAAATGACTACATCACAATCTAGAAAATGGGAAAATAGGTCATTACAATGACTAATAAATACATACATACATGTCGCTCATCACATTATAACTACAGGGAGCTTTGTCCTGACACATAACAGCAGTCTAAGTTAAAAAAAAAGAACCGATGCCAAAACATATAGTCACCAACGAAAGACATAATCGGTCATAAATAAGCAGGATGCCACATGACCTTTAAAGCAGACAATTAACTCAACATAATGATCTCTGACACATTCTGATGGACCGCGCATGTGACAGGAACACAATTATGGCTATTTTAGTATTGGATTAGAGCCATTTTATATGTATGTCAATTATTTCATATCAACAATCAACCTGTCGATCCATCAACTTGTTGCAGTAGCTTGGATCGTAAAAACCTAAACCAGGTAAATATTTTTCCATTCAGGATTCACAATTAAGGTTTTGTAGATGTAGGTTTTGTAAATGTTATTGTATTCAGTATGATGCTATAACATTCTATCTGTCTTGATCTTAATAATACAAAAACAGGTTCATCAACTCCCCATTCAAGCCATGCCTCCTCAGAATATATTTTAATGTATCCAGTAAGGTTTTCATACATCTAATTAAGTTTAAAATAACAGTTTTACTCAATGAGTTTGACCTTCAATCTGTTTTTGTGGGAATAGGTGAAAGCCAAACACTATAGAACATACAACAATCCACTGAAATACAACTTTGAGCAAGCAAATAACAAGGTAATATCATTAAGATGAGGGTCAACGTTCATAAATGCAAAATGATGCCCTATTTATTGAGTTGAATCTTTGTTTTACCAATTTAAAATTGGCAAATGTGATACAAGTCATTCAATAGGAAAGAATATATTTCTGCAGTTCTTTTGCCCCTGAAGGCAACTCGTGACAGTGACTACAGGATGTAAAGCATAAGCCTCAAGGCTTCTCACTGCTCGCACAACATCAATACAAATTTTTTAAGGTCACTTTTTAGTAGTGTTTGAAATTGAACCTTTTGTACGGAAAACTGTAAAGGCATAAACTGGCTAAAGACTGTCAGTGCCACAATGTCATTGATAAACACAAAGCCCAAGTGGTTTAATTAAGTCCATTCTAATCTGGCTTGAGTATACGTTATGTATTGAAAATGAAACAAATAAATAAAAACAAAAAATATGTTTTCATAATAAGAAAATGCAGGCTATAGAACTGATGATAGAAATAATCTACTTTTCTCTGTTTTAAGAGCAAACATAAAGAACACAAATGAGCTGCCACTACAGCAGTTACACAGAAACAAGACCATGCCATCCAAGCAACATCCATAAATGAAAGGCATTGGACATTTCACGTTTTAAAAAACCACAGCACTTATTGACAGCCGCGAGGCAAAGTAACATCCATCTACTCACTCTGCGACCCTGGTGCGTGCCTTGATGCTGGCTATGATCACGCTCTCCAGCCGCGGGGTGGCCACAGCCTTGAACGTCCCTTTCCAAAACTTCTCAAAGAGCTGCTTCTCCCCAATCAGACCTGAGGCTCCTTTCTCTGCTCCGAACAGCGAGGGGACCGCCAGCGAACACGCGGGTTCCATGCTTGTCTTCAAGTCAAGTCCACTCACTCGCACATGGGAAATACAGGAGCTATCCAAGTACTGAAATCAAGAGTCCAGCCAGAGTCTTGTTGCAAATGAAGCAGCAGAAGTAGCAGCAGCAGCAGGTTGTCAAAGCAGTTACCCCAGGCACAAAAGCAAAGCAGACCCCCCTTTCTCTTCAGCGGAGTCTCAGTATTGTCCTGTGTGGGGGGAAGAAAATTAAAGAAGGGGGGGTATCAGTGTGTTTTGTCCAGTGACATCTGCTACATTCGCATGTGACTTGAATAGATATAGTTGTGTGGATGGGTGGCTCGGCGCGGTTCAGAGATGGTGCGTGATGGAGAGAGCATGTGCGCGTGTGTGTAGAGAGGGTGAGGTGGCAGCGGAGTGAGAATGCGTGCTGGGGGAGGCTTGTTTTGTGTCTGAGTTGATGACGTAAAAAGGAGAGGAGGGATGGGCGCGTTTTTGCACGGGAGAGGGACACCTTCAGTGGGCAGCAGCGCGCGCTTGGTGCACGGTGATGCGCCACAAGTGCGGAGACAGATGCTGACACAGAGCGAAGGCATGCGGGTCTGGTGGGTGGAAGGGCTGTGACGTGGATAGAGTATAAGACTAAGAGTGGGGTGATAAAGGTGAAAAAGTAAGAAAAATGTGTGTTATAACATGTAAGTGAGTAGGAAGTACAAAAAAGTGATTGGCACTAAACAGGAAAAAACACGTTAACAGAATAATTTTTTTCAAACAGGTTTTTCACCATATACCAACCCACCTTGTTTGTGATTTCCTGTCTTTCTCATCTCCCAATGACAATGAAAAATAATGCTGATAATTTCTTAATTTGTGATACCATTACAGGATTCAGCAGTGCTGTGCAGATATTTAGGCACAAATGGAATGAAACCCGTTGCTCACTCCTGTGATCTGATTTATTGTGACAGAAGCATGGAGAAAAAACATCATCACAGATTGTAAGTTGTTAGTCAGTGGACAATTGGTTTGATTAATTATGTCATTTTAAATGAATACTGAGACAGTTGAAAAAAAAAAGTATATATATATATATAAGCAACAAAATTGTCTTTTTAGATTAACATAAACAGTGTTTATCTTGACTTGATTTGTTTGCTCTAAAGTTTGAACTATAACATGCCAAAAAGATTTACTCCTGAGCAGTGACGTGCGTTGAGGTTGGTGATTGGTGAGGCACTGACTTCACCCTAATCAGATGTACTTATAAATCACATAGGGATGCACCGATACCATAGGCTTTTACTCATGCCATAGCACTCGATTCTGGCAACTGATACCCACATTTTTAATTCAGATTAGCGTCACGACAGCAGACAGCTGTGCAACACGAGATAGGAAAGCAGCAACAAGGCTAGCGGCAAGCAGCCTAGCAGTAAGGAAGTTAGCGGAAAGTGGATATATATGTCTACATACTGTATATGTCTACATATATTCTTACTTATATGCGTCTACATATATGTCTACATACAGTATATGTAGACATATATGCGTACATTATGCGTACATATACGTATGTCTACATATATGCATATGTATTTTTTTTCTTCAATTCCAACAACATAGACCCCTCCCTCAGTGAGATTAAAGTTTAGCCTTGTTTTGTCACAATGGCTCACAACAGGCAATAACACAGCAAACTATGTTGAAGATTTAAATGTCACTGTTATCTCAAATTGAAGGGCTGAGAAATTTCCCTTTGGGATTACTTGGTATTAGCTCTCAGCCCATCAATTCACTCTTTATGAAACTACCTTCTCAGAATCAAGTCACGGTACCTTAGCTGTGCATACAACTAAGGGATTTTATATTTTTAGCTTTCTTTTTAATGTTCTGTGATTATTTATGATTTTAATGCTTTCTTGTTTTGTTCAGCACTTTGAATTGCCTTGTGTATGAATTGTGCTATATAAATAAACTTGCCTTGCCTACTAATGTCAGTGTAGCTATGCTATGATTGGGGCCTTGCCGAGCGTCGGTTGACACGACAGCTTCCAACACTGGTCGAAGCAATGGAGATTGTATCCTGATTGAACAGCAGCTCCAGAAAGATCTCCTAAGCCAGTTCGAGTGAGAATGATGGCCTACCCATACACTCCATATAGCCTGGACTTAGCAAAGGCATCCCTGGACAAAACATGGGTTGACACCAAACCAACCCTATACAGGGCCGTCCGGATCCGATGTCGGAACAAAATCCCTAATAGCTAAAAGAGGCTGAGAGCAGAGCGGGGCAGGAGTGCACCAGGACAGCGCTTCTTATACTCCCGGCCAGAGCAGCAAATTATAAAAAAAGATACCAAAACTTTATCAAAAACTTTACCAAAAAACATTACTACAAAAGATGCCTCTCTTACAAACAGATATAACACCCAAAAATACCTGGACTAAAAGATAAGACACACAACCAAGGAGGAAAAGGTACCCAAACATAACGAATCACTTGATATAGTGACCAAGTATTATAATTTCTATTTCATTCTTCTTTCTTACCATGATCATAGGTGCCTCACCTCATAGATGAGGCCCCTATGAGGTGAGGCCCCTATGAGGTGCCGCACCTCATAGGGGCCTCATCTGCCTCCCCAGTCATTGGTCCTGAGATGTATTGCATTTACATTTCTTCGTCTTCTAGAGCTAAACGCGTTCTCCTTTTGAGCCTCTGTCAGTGATTCAATAAAAAATAATGTCTTAATGATGATTTAATGTCTGTGGATTAAAGTTTGCATTTTAGAAATGTCCTCCAGCTGATCATTAGTCTTCAAACGCTAGTAATGAATCAAAGTCGAGAGAGCAGGTATACAGTGTACTATGGTTTACTTTAGCCTAAACAGAATTGTTTACTATGTTATTGTGGCACAGTTGGAGAAGTTATTTCCTGCTTCAGTTACTCCTCCTTAGTGTGTTTCTCACGCAGAGTGCTTCTGTTTGGGCATTTCAGACAAAGACTGGGGCAAATCAGCCCAACAAAAGAACTGAGACTGAGCAGCAGCCAGAGTATGTGGGCGACACAGACCTCCTCCAGGCTGGAACTTCTACCCCCTCCTCTCTCTCCCTCTCTCTCTCGTCTACACATGCTCACAGATACTCGCTCGCTCCTTCCTGTCTCTAATGCTGCGTATCATCGGCTGCTGGCTGCTGATGCTGTGTCCTGGACATAAACTGCTTTGGAGGTATTGGTGCAATGTCCCAACATGCAACAAGCACACACAATACTCACTGTGGAATGTAATGGAAATATTGTTTTTCTATCTGCATATGATATTTATTACGGCACCTCTATAATGGCACCTGACAGAAGGTATACAGAACCATGTGGAATAATATCTGAACATGCATGAGAGACTTTGACCGGTAGAAACAGTCAAACAATTGTGGTCCCTTGTTGTGGTTTTCGTCTCAAACATTTTGAGTAAAGCCGTAGAAAAACATAATTCTTCACTGCATTTTTTATTTTTTTTCATCAAGTAACCGTCTTTATTATAAGTAACCATTAATTTGAAGGGGTTTTCTTCCTGAAAGGTGTAGAGGGAACAAAAAATCCACATTGTTTTAATTCATGGCACTCAATAGCTCTTGTTAGCAGCTGTAGTCGCCACGATTTAAGGCTAATTCTAATTGACTAGACACCCCTTGTCGCACTATTTTTTTAGTCACAAACTTGCTATTAGAATGAGACTACACTCAAAGAAATGATTCAGGTGGTTAGTATTTTGAACTCAAAATACATACTAAACTAAACTCAATAATTGATTTTTGCCAGTTTTACTTAAATTAGTGTGGTCGCAACTCATTTTAAACATGCCTGTCTCAATTAAAAGTTAATACAAGAATCCTAACTCATTTTTGTAAATCCTCTTGTAAGCCTGGTGGCCCATTAATGAAAAAACAAATATATTGAGTTGATTCAAAATAAATATATTGAGTTGATTCAAAATAAATATATTGTGTTGATTGAAAACAAAATGTGGCGAAGCAGTGACGCTACCCAGAATGCATTGCAGCGAAAAATATAAACTTCTTAAAAATTCTACATTTGAGCATTAATTTTAAAACTGAATATGAAGCAAGTCCTAAAGCAAAATACTTGAGCAACATTCTGAATAAACTAATTTGACCAAATAAGTAATTGTATTTATTTTTATCAACCATGATCGAGAGGGCCAAGCCAAAGCAGTCCTATACTCCCTGTGTCACCCTTCAATTTCGAACAAATACTTTAAGGTGGACATGTTTACCAGTGACTGTACTGGCCCACTCTCATATATATGTGGAGTGAGAGACTACTGCCTAAAATTAACAATTGTGAACCGTTTTGTGAATCTAATCTTTGAAAGATGGTATTTGAATAAAGATTACATATTCCTGACTGAAAATCACTTGTTGATTATACTCAAAAAGATTTATTTTCAATGTAATTATTTAAGTTGGTAGTATTGTTAAAATTAAGTTGAGCTGATGCTAAAACACTTGCTGAATATACTTAACAAAGTGTCTTTATAACTCAATTATTCAAGTTGGTGGTATTGAAAAAATTGTGCTGGACCAATGATAAAAGACTTACAAAGAATACTTAAAACACAGTCTTGTTCGCAAAACTTAAAAAGATGCATGCAAAATGCTGCCTCAATTTTATTAAGTTTTGCCAATGCATTTTTTTTTAGAGTGTACGGGTGGTTTAACACTGCACACCTGTGTTGAAATGCGACGGCAACCTGGGAGTTGTAAATGAAAGGTTGACGTGTTGTTTGAACCTGTGTCAAGGTGGCCAAGTGGAAGATGGAAATGCCTAAATGTATTGGACCCAGGACCGCAAGGTGAGAACATGTTAATATTTTTATAGAAAATATCAACATTTTCAAGCATATTTTTTATGAGGAGAACTTCAAAAACTGAAAAGACTTTGATGTTAAGAGCTTCCCTCAATACAGTATACAAAGCATTGTCCCTCTTCTGCTGATCCACATGGAAGC